CAAAAACAAGTGAGTGAGAAGATTACAGATTTTATTCCCAAACAGCAAGCAATATATACCGTACATTACCAAGCAGCACTTCAATCTGCCACTGAGAAGCCCTGAAGAAGTGGTGAAGTGACCCCCAGGTAGCCTTCAGTGCACAGCTCCACAGCCAACAGCCTGTGCCTGAACTTCTTACTGCTATGCTCAAAAGCCAAATATTTTATAGATGGCTGTGCCTTGTTATGGCCAGTACAGGCTCAGCTGTGAGCCATTCTACTCTACATCAAAGACAAAAAAGCCAGGCCAGACATCAAAGGTAGATACTGGCCAGTGCAGGCTCAGCTATTTGCCCCCCAGACCATTTGCCCCCAGACCATACATCAAAAGCAGCCATCAAAGACATTTTTCAAGGGATAAAAGGTAAAGGTAAAGGGACCCCTGACCATTAGGTCCAGTCGTGACCGACTCTGGGGTTGCGGCGCTCATCTCGCTTTATTGGCCGAGGGAGCCGGCGTACAGCTTTCGGGTCATGTGGCCAGCATGACTAAGCCGCTTCTGGCAAACCAGAGCAGTGCATGGAAACGCCGTTTACCTTCCTACCAGAGAGGTACCTATTTATCTACTTGCACTTTGACGTGCTTTCGAACTGCTAGGTTGGCAGGAGCAGGGACCGAGCAACGGGAGCTCACCCCGTCACGGGGATTCGAACCACCGACCTTCTGATCGGCAAGTCCTAGACTCTGTGGTTTAACCCACAGCGTGAGAGAGGTAATAAACATAGATAACCAGAGGCAGGAAGAGATGACCATGTCAGGTCACTAATCACCTCAAAATCACAATAATCTTCCGGAATAGGTTTCCTGTACCGGCTCAGAACAAGTTTCAGTGACAGTTCATTATGTCACCTGTCCTTGGAGCTTAGCCAGGTACAGTTCACTTGTCAAGCATGTTGTCTGGTAACTGGCCAAGCCAGGGGTGAAACTAGGCTTTCTTTCACCCAGATCAAAGACTCAGTTTGGCACCCCCCCCCCACACACATATAACAACAACAATAATAATAACAGAAAGTGTGATAATGATCAGGCACATACCAGAGAGTAAGTCCTATTGAACTCAGTGGGACTTACTTCTGAGAAAAAATGCTTAAGATTGCAGTACAAGACTGCAGAATCTTTACACAGTTACCTGGGAGTAAGCTCCATTGAATTCAGTGGGACTTACTTCTAAGTAGTAAAGGCTTGCAGTTAAGGCTCTAAAGAATAAAACACACAAGCAAGCCCAATCCAATCGAAATAACTTTATTGTACTAGCCATTGGCGATGACAAATCTGCAACAAAAATAAAAACAAGCAAAAGGGGTGTTACGCTGCAAATAATGGTCTCTCTTAAGATCTCAGCGTCTCCCTTACATTTCACTGCTATATTGTCCAATGTCGTCTTTCTGATCTTTTGGCCGCCAAAACAAAAAGGGTGACTTTATGAGTCACCAAAGCGTTTACATCGCTAAGAAGCCATAGAACCGTCTCTGCTGATGGACTTCCGGTGGCGGCAGCTTCATGCAAATCATGCAACCTCCAGTTAAGTTTTATTCCACTAGTTTTAGTGTTTTACGGTTTTAGTGTTTTAAGTATTTTATGGCTTAGTTTTAGTATTGTATTGTCCTCTTTCACCTCATTTTTACTTCATTTTTACTTAATCGCATTATGGTTTTGTTCTAAATGGAGGGAAGGGGGGGGGTCGACCTTTCGGAATTTTGTATGGTAATGTTCAGTTATGCCACCAGAAGAACAGTTGCACTATGGTCCAAGGTCCTAATTTATTGCAGGGAATCAAACCCATAGATTCTAACGTGTTTGTAGCCATGCCTGTACTTAACATTGTTTCTGTTGAAAGGGTCACACAAGCAAGACAAAGTAACAACCAGCAGGGCAGTGATAAGAAAAAACCCACACATTTTATTCACACCCGCTATCAGCAAGTATGTGGGCTCAAGCCTGAGATAAATGGTTATGCAAAACACTAGGATGTGCCCAGACTTGTTCCAAACAGGAAAAACAATTAGTGCCTCCAGCAATGTCACACCTGTGGGGAGGAAGCAGACAGAAAAACTGTTAGCAGCCTGTAATCCCATCCAGGCTTTACACACAAGAAAACCACGAGTTGCCTCATGGCATGCTTGTTATGAACACTTATCTGCTATTATCCTAAGGTAAGACTGATATTAATAACTTGGTTATTACACGGCCCCTGTACATAAGGGCAGCCAGTACCACCAATTGATCACAGGAGAAGCGTCACTGATTCAATAATGTGGGTAGACCGTTTGTGCAAAACACTGTACAGTATTCAAAATGATCTGTCAAGCTTTGACCAATCAACGTTAACAAACAGCGCCACCTAGGGTACATATCACTGGTACTGCAGCCTTACATTGCACTCCTTTCCATTCAACAAGTTATGTCAAGGGAGAAAATCCTATCAAGCCAGCAAGGCTTCACTGTAGCAACTTTTATTAATTACTTCCTGTCTAGGTCAAGGCATTTTGCAGATGGTTGCAGACTGAGGTAAATTAATATAAATTCACTAAAAATCAACCGTCCAACAGATCTTCTCCATTCCACTTTTGCTCCACTCAGAAAAAGGATTGGGAAATATGACTCTAGAAGCCATGAATCCCAAGGCGTGCAGTCACATACTCAGTGAACCTTGCCCTAGAGAGATTGTCAAATCCAGGTGTCAGGCTGCCACCCATCACAGTCACAAAGGTGGCCAAACCAGGAATGGATTCACACCAGGACACACAAGGAGACTGTGATTTACTTAGCCCGAGGGTCAAGAACTTGTAAATAGTTTTGTTTTCTATCATCAGTGGGTGTCTGGTGATGGTCAGGAGGAGGGAGGGGTGGGTACCTGAAACTCAGGTTACAACCTCTGGACCTCCCCTTGTATGACAAATTAGTGATGTAGCCATGATGTATTGATGACGATGTCTGAACTGTATTCTGGGATATGAGGGTAACTTTTAAAAGTCAATGTCGTCTTTTGTTCGGGGTCATGCCTTTCTCCCTGCTGGATTAGGTAGGACCCTGCTATAGCAGTTTGCTTTATACCAAATAAAGGTCAGGCTTCTTAGCCTCTTCGCTTCAGGTTACACTGGTCGGTGTCTGTTTTTACTCCTCTCTGACCGCGGGAACCACACAAGGACCTAGCAGGCTTACCATGTCCCTTAAGGGCCGGAAGCAGTTATTGCTGTGTCTTTTTCAGTTTTATTACTGGCTGCCGCACATGCTCGCCACTGTAGCTTGCTGTCTAGCTGCTTTGCTGGTCTGCTGATGCTCCAGCTCACTAGTCCAGCTATGTCTTCTATTCTTACTATTGCCATAGTTTTAAAATCCTCAATCCTAAAGTGATTATCTTTGCACTTACCTCAAAATTGCCACAAGACCTCCGGCGTCCCCACCTTTCTCAACTGTCTGCTGAATACAATGATGCCATTACCAGTTTAGCTGCAAACTGGGAACTGAAACTGAAATTCTCCAGAAACAGTACTTGACAACCCCACTTGAGCTTAGTGTCTGATTCGCCAGCATGCCAAAAAGGAGGAAAAGGTCTTACTCACCAACGAATTTGTGCACTCTACCTAATTCTAAACAAAGCAGACTAGATGCTTTCACAGTGGGACATTCTTCTGCCAAGCTGGAAACAACCTTGACTAACATGTTATCCCCCTGGCTGGGGAGAGGGGAGGGGAATCCCAGGATGTGAGGGGCTCACAAGAGGAGAATGCCGAAGAGGTAGGGAAATTGCCAGAGAAGCAAATACGCCATCAAGAGATTCTGTCACCACACCCTCTGCAGCCAAGCAAATGCTCTTTGAAGAGGAAGCAAAATTACTGTCAGAGCTGTGCTTTTTAATTGCAGAAAGGTTACAATTCATTAATGATGAACTGGAAAAGATATTGTCCTTACTGACCATACCAGGACCATGAGATTCAAGGGGAGACATGGTTCTCATGCCCCTAGAAGGCCCTGCAGTGTCCCTAAACTTGGATCAGACCAAGGCGGCAAACAGTTTTTCTTCTTGCTCCAAGCCATGGGCTCCCTATGCTTCTAATAGTAATGTCACACAACAAAAAGACTAAACTGAGCCTTCTACAGACTCAGGTGGTGATCAATGTTTTCCAAATAAATGGACACATCCCATATTGGAATTCCATTGCAAGGGCCAATGCAAATCTCAAATCACTGTTAAACCAACATTACTAAGGAATGACCCAGGCTGGCCAGGAAAAGGCAATCAAGAAGCATTATCAGGTCTCTTGACAGATGGGAGACAAGCAATATTGTCAAATTTCTGTTGCACACCACATCTATTCTGTAAAATTTCTATGATGATTTCAGATTGATAAGGACAAAATCTTGGTGTACGGTACTTACACCATTTCCCAACTTCACTAGAGTCTAGCCCTGTGAGTTCTGAATTGGTCAGGTTCAAGCAAGAGACCATAGCCAGGCAAATTGAAGCAGGACAGCGGCTAGGAACCCTGATCGTTTATTGTTGCAACAAGGCTTCAACTCCCAAACAAAACCAGGAAGAAGCCCAGAACAAAGGGCAAATGGCCTCTTAAAAGTTCCCACAATTTCCCATAATACATTTCACATAGCATCATCAAAACATCATAGGTATGTCACAAAAAGGTGTGACTCTCTTGGGCTGTAGCATGTGTGCACCAGGCTGCAGCAGCTCTATTCCCAGGTCGGGCTTGACCCGGGGGCGGAGAGAGGCTGTGGTGTGCGTGCCCCGGATGCACTTTGTTGGGCGAGCTGCAGCGGGCTTCCTCTGTGCCCCGCCATCGGCGGCATGAGCTTACACTCCACCGCTGCTTGTACATCAGAGTTTGGATGCAATTTCTAGAGATTTAGGGAGCTTTCAAAATGTTGACACCTGATGGCTAAAAGATACTTCAGCATCTCCCCAAAAGGCAATAAAGGAAGACAAAACAGGGATAGTTTTACCCAGGACAGGTTCCAGAAAAATACCACCATCCCTGCCCAAGTGAGCATTTACCCGCCCCCCTCAAAAAAAATGGAATTTCTGTTGTATTGGGAAAAGTTTTCAATTAGCAATAATCGCGCCTCGGATTAACCTCATTGGCTACAATACTGCCACTGCGCAAAGTGCACGACTTCCAGGTTGGCGCCTCTGGCAATGGCGGATTTCCTCCGATCGGGAGGAATCCGCTCCGTGGAAAACAGGGTCTGAACCGCCACGGCGAGGCGGAGACCCATTAAAAACCACAGGCGGGAGAAGCCTGTGGACGTGGGATTCGGCTGGCACCTTTGCGCCTCCCCTACTCGCGGGGAAACCCTGTTTTGGGGATCCGGAGCGACATGGGGTGAGTGGCGCGGTGCTTTGAATCGACTGCTTCTTTCACGGAGTGAAGCTGCATTGCTGTTGCCGGAGAGCGCTGACTTTTTCCTGTGGACAATTGGACTTTAAAAAACTACTCGTGAGTAAAACGGAAAATTGGATTCTTAAATACTTTAATTCGACACTGAAACGGGAAGGTTATAAACAGGAAGTCCGCCTCCCGTTCTTGTAAATAGACTGAAGCAAAGACGTTACAAGTTAAAGCCTTTGAAAGCTTTTGGCAAAGGATCAAATTTCCACCGGTTTAAAATACAAAACCCCCCTTGGAAGCAGGAGAAGAGGGGGAAATTTTGGATTTAGTGAGCCTGCAGGAGAGAGTGAAGAAGCAAATTACCACTGCTCTGAACCTGGGAACGGGCTGCCAGATGACGTTAGGAGAGAGTGCATTGACAGAACGGATTTGACAGCTAGCTAAATAAGAGTAAGATACTGTTTCCATTGTCCTCCTCTGCGTTTAAAAAACAGGAAAAGTAACTGAAAATGTATCTTTAATGCTTGAGTTGTGCTTGAAAGAACTGATACAAGTGGAGACTGTTTCCCTCTAGAGGGAGCTTTTGAAACTGTTACAGGATATAACTGGGGGATTTCCAGTGGCAGATAAGGATTCTGAGAACCAGAGAGTGACCTTGGACTATTTAAAAATGTTGACAGGAGAGGCCATTGTGACTGTTTTATGCAAGATAAGCTGTTTGCTGGGACAGCTTCACAAGAAGATGGCTGACAGATAATTTGGAACAGAAAGTGACCAACTTGAGTCAAAAAGTGAACACCAACACAGAAATAATCCAGGACTTGGTACAGGAACCCATTTTGGCAGGACAAATGGTGGAGGAGAAGGAGGAGAAGGAGAATGCTGTTGTTGTTGAACATAAAATAATACAAGTGAGATCTGTGGTTTTACAGAAGCAAATTGAGCAAAGCCCCAGGAAGTGATTTCATTGTCGCTGAACTTCTGAAAGCGCAAATAAACTGGTGGGCCCCGGTCCTTGCTAATCTATTTTCATATATAGATAAGACAACTGAAATCCCTAAAGATTGGGGACTAGCTATAATTGTTCCCATATTTAAAAAGGGCAACCCCTCTGATCCATCTAATTATAGACCAATTAGCCTCCTGAATGTGATCTGTAAACTTTATACAAAACATCTATGCCTAAAATTATGGGAATGGTTAGATCACAATAACTTGCTAGAAATTGAACAAGCAGGGTTTACATCCGGACGTTCCACCATTGATCACTGCTTAGTGTTAGATTACTTTGTCTATAAGTATGCGAAATATTGGAAAAAGTCATTATATGCGGCCTTTGTGGACCTAAAGGCAGCATTTGATTCTGTATCCAGGAGCAGGCTCTGGGCCAAATTGGCCAATATGGGTATTAACAGAAGGTTATTACTTCTGATGATTAAGCTTCATGAGAACAATACCCTCCAGATAAGACTTGCACAGGACGGCAGACTCTCTAGAGAAATCCTAGTCCAAAGAGGAGTTAGACAAGGATGCCTATTAGCCCCACTCCTATTTAACATCTATGTTAACTCCCTGGTCACATGCTGCCGTGAAATTGAAACCCACCCCCCTGTGTTCTCTAATGGCAGAAAAGTACCAATTTTAATGTATGCGGATGACGCTGTTCTTCTCTCTCAAACCAAAGTGGGTCTGAAACGTGCCTTAGGAAAGTTTAGTGACCAATGTAACACTGAACTGTTAACAATTAACTTCGCCAAAACCAAAATTGTACATTTTAACCGCTCCTTTAGGAAGGATAATTGGAGCGTAAAGGGAAACGCCATTGAACAGACTAAGACCTTCCAATACTTAGGCATTACTTTCTCTTATAATGCCAAATTCTCAACACACTTGACCACATCAGCTATATCAGCAGAAAGAAGTGCAAATGCTATCCTTAGATTATTCAGAAGGAAAGGAGCTGGCTTCCTCCCGATGGCCCTAACAGTCTTTCAGGCAAAATCTTTAGCCCAACTTCTATATGGCTCTCAAATTAGCCCCTCCGCCAACCTTAAGACCCTTGAAACAGTACAATCTAAATTCTTAAGATCATTATTTGCTACTCCTAAGTGTACACCTAATGCAGTCTTAAGGCAAGAGGCAGGACTGCCCAGAGTGGAATTAAAAGTCTGGGAACAAGCAATATCCCTCTGGCTGAAAATCCATTACAATCCTAAGGGTCTATTACCTTGCTTCCTGGCCGCAGTTCCCTATCCTCCTTGGCTTATGCAAATAACTAACAAGATCAAACAAATTGGCCTAAACCCTGAAAATATTTTTATTGGAACTCTGAACAAGGCAAAAGCTACTATCACTCGGAGACTTTATGATATCGAATTACAACAAGAAGGCGCCCTACTCCCAGAGACGTATAGATGTTTAAAAGCTTGGCCTAATTTTGTAGCTGCCCCTTACTTAACTAACATCACTAACGAAACCTATAGATGGGCTTTCTCTAGAGCCCGCTTTGAGACAATGCCCTCAGCAGTGCTGTACGGCAAATTCACGCGAGTTCCAATGCATGCGCGTCTCTGCCCTTGTATGTCTAATAAGGTAGAATCTGTCACACACATTCTTCTATCTTGCGAATTCTATAGTGAAGAACGAGTTCAACTTATTTTACCGCTTCTATCAAAATTTATACCCCTTCAATATTATTTGGAATCCCCCCTGAAATTCTTCGAAAACACCTCCTGGAAGATTCCTCAAGCTCAGTATCATATGAGGTGGCTAAATTTTGCACTTTAGTAATTAAGAAGCGTAAATCTCTTCTGTTGAATGGCACACTGTGAAGTTCTCTTGTGTAACCTTTTTTCTTTTCTGAAGTTGTTGCTGATTTCTTGTTGTCTGATCTTGTCGTGTTTAGTGTCACTGGCTTTGGCCGCAATAAACTTGAAGAAGTACTTGAAGCAAATTGAGGATTATAAGTTGAGGCCTTCTGCGATTGAATCTAGGAAAAGTCAGACTCCGAGGAATGGATCCCGGCTTGGATTAAAAAAGGAAAGTTGGAAAGAGCTCTTTATGCAGGGATTAACTGACTTTTGGGACATGGACTTGGGCCTGGAGGAGATTGAAGTTTTGGGGCCTTTGGAATTGGAGGAATTTTGAAATATACCCGGAAATACTTTATGGACTGTAGCTTTAACTATGGAAATTTAGTTGATCTGTTCAGAAGGAAGAAAAGGATTGACAGGCTGGAGTTTCCCCGAGATTTGCTCTTTAGCATTAAAGAAAATGAAGAAGACCTGCAGAAGGGACTTGGAAAAGACTTAAGAGCCTCGGACAGAAGATCACCAGGTTGATGGACTTTAGGGAATTGACGGAAAGGACTGGCAGAATCCGAAATCTGGGAGAGGAGATGGTGGAAGAAGATTGGAAAATTTAAAGTTTATATATAGACTTATGGTAAAACTAATGAGTGATAGAAAAATGGTGGAATGGTTTTTTTATTATTATTATTTTCTATGGGCTTAACAGAAATGTTATAAGGAGTTAAGCACATATAAGTATCTTACTTTTAATGGAAAATAAGGTTAAAAAATATGTTATTTACAATATCACAGAAAATGGAGAAAGATGGAAAGGATTTGCTGAAACAATTTATAGAAGTGGAACACAAAAAGGGAGGTGTGAGGAGGTCGAGGAAACAAGGGAATGAAAAATAGAGTATGGAAAAGAGATGATGTATGTTTTTAAATTGTTTTTGTTCTGTTCTATTTAGGGTTAAGGTTAGGGAGTGGGGTTTGTTTAGCTTAGTTTAATGTGTTTAGTTTTGAGTTTAGGTTGTGTTTTGTATTGTTTATATATTGTATTGTATTGTTTTTTCTTTTTGTTTTTCTACTTTGTTTTTTTTCCTCTTTTGTTTTCTTTTTTGCTTTTTTCTCTTTTTTTGTAATCTATAAAAGTAATAAATATTATTTTTTTAAAAAATGGAATTTCTGAACATGCCCATGCTCTCCATCTGAGTCTGATGGTCTCCTCTCCACAAGATTAGCCCTGGCAATTGCCTTTCCCTGGACAGCAACAGGGTTTTGGAGATTGTCCATGAGCCTGCCAGGTTTTGGACTCTATCACAGACCTCCCCCCACCCCCAAGAATTTCTGATCTTTGCATCGGACCTTTTGTGAGCTGGAAAGACCCTGTGCACCCTGGCCAGCCCTGTTGAAAAAAACCATTTATTAGCAAGATAACCAGAAGGGATGCAGGCCAAGGGGAGGGCAGAAGTCTTTTTTCCCTGACAGAGAGAAGCCATCCAAGTGGCCCCTTCTGGTTCAGCTATAATAAGGGGGCCAAGCTGCTTTTGAGTATCACTTTCAGCTATTCTGAAGGTTAAACGCCTATTTAGAGCCCCCTATTGAAGATGGAGATGGGGGCCTGGCATTGTTTAAACACTCTCCAGCTTTGTTTAGCTGCTTTCAAGGAGCCTGTGAATTGGGGGGAAAGCTCAGTGTCCACTCCACATGCTACTCCCAGCAATTCAAATAGAAATGCCTCCTCACAGGACAGACTGGCAGTTTTCTGAGAGGACTCTGTCAGTTGGGCTTCCCTGCTTTCTTTGAGTGACAGTTTAACCCAACTTCAGAGGCCAGCCTCCACCTTACTGATCTCTGCTTGACACCCAATTACCACATGAATGGGACAGAAAAGGCTTCAACTCCCCCTGACCTTCCCTCCCCTTCCCCCTCATCATTTCTCCCTTGCTCCCACATTCCACCCCACCCCTAGATTTCTTTTCTCTGA